TTAAAATTGAAGTTGAGAAAAATTAAATGTGACTCAAGAACCACAGTCATGTGTGCCCCCAATTTTTATACGCAGTGTATTACATTTTTAATCGTATTACATCCAGGGTGCTTTTCATTATGACAAGGAGCCAACCTAGCATTTTCAAGCTTACACCCTCCCAAAATATACAGTCTAAAACACACAGTGTCTGAGACGCCACCTAGCTATGTGTACACGAGAATGCTGTTAAGGAGAAGCTTAGAAATTTAAAATAAATGCAGTCTACAGCCACAGAGCGGCTTACCTAGGATACTGCCCAGCTTCCCTAACATGCGAGGCGTTTCACCCACACAAGTCTTTTTAATGCCATCTTTATCTGCTAGGCGATGCATGAAATCTACTTTCGGTTTTAGAACTGCTGGCCACCTTTGACCCCTTTAGTGGAGACACAATGTGACCTTTCTATTGTCATTGGCTTTCATTCTCCTGAAAATTCTATGAATTTTTATTACAAGTTTTTTTTAAACCAAGCTGAGGCTTCAACAAATTACTTGACGCAGATGAGATGAAGTTGTTGAAGTGGGTGTTAGATAAGTTTTACAGCCGCGCGCCGCCGAGGAGGCCGGCCCATGTCCTGCAATGTCACCCGCCAGTAACTGCTGAGCCTACTATTGGATAAATACATCATTTTATGGAACATTGATTGTTCTATAAACCCAATGGAGTATTATGCTCTATGATCAAACCATTTAGATTGTGTGTAGAGCACAGAAAATGCCATATTCAGGATGGTACTAAAAGTGCCATTTGTGTATTTTATGGATGTCATTACAGGGGAAACTTCTCTCCGTAGGCCCTGTTTACTGCAAAATTTTTTAGTCTGTAATGACATTTTTCATTCACAACGTATGCCTTCAAGAGAGGGGGCCCTTGTTTTATTTGTTTCATTCGAGTTTACTGCACAAATTCTGTACATTTTAATTAAATGTAAGCTTAACAAAAGCAGAAGGTATTTATTCTGTGGGAAAAAGTGATGACAGCGAGGAGAGAATAGCACACACACAGCCAGGAAGCAGCCAGGGACTGAGCCCTGTCTGCAGCATCCCAGAGGCCCAGTGGGCAGCAGAAGGGAGCAGGGTTCGGGGAGGCGTGTGCCACTTAAGCCCTGCACCTGAAGGGCGGGGTGTGTGCTGTCAGCCCCGGAGACTGGCTCCTCAACAAGGACAGGCAGGAAGGCGCTGAGCTGAAGGATGAGCTTCGGGAGAGGGGAGCCTGATCAGAAATCACTTCCCAAAGCAGGTTCTCAACCCTCCCGGAGCCCGTCCCACTTCCTGGGGCTGTAAGTGTTCAGTGCTCTTAGTACGAGAAGGGAGGCAGTACCTCCACTCTCGGGAAAGCAGCTGAGCAGCGTGCTGGAATTTTATAAACAGGCTCTAGGCTGCATTTTAGCTTCATTTGCGCCTTCTCCACAAAGCCACGTACTGTCTTGTTGGAAATGGGTCCCTAAAGGACTGCTTCAGACACGCCAGCTATTAGCTGCTATTATTATCCTGAAATCGAACACTGTCTTTGAAAAATGTAAAGTGTAACAGATATTATTTTGGGCATCTGAGATCCATTAAAATGGGTGTGGGTTTGGAGCTATCATGGTGACTGAGCAGATAAGGACAAACCTGGATGACATTCCTGTTTTCCAAACGCCACGCCCACTAGCTGTTAGCACTGATGAGCTTTCCAGTTCCTATTTACTAGAAAGATCTCAGAAATTGAAGCGATGTGCCCAGTGAATTCTCGGGCACCATCCAGTTAGAATTTAAAGTCACAGCAGAGATTCGCATTAGTTTAAATGACACTTGAACTTCCACGTGGCTCAACATTAATTCATTACGGTCAGAATGGACGAATCTTCAGTGGCTGGATCTTTTTCAATCTGATTGAGGCTGTTACATTTTATAGGTGCTATTTTTCAAAGCAGTACTGACAGCACACGCGAAGTTATTAAATTGCTGAATCAAAAGATGGACCTGCACTCCCGTTTATGAACTGTGCTGGGACAGCGAGGCTCACAGGCGAGGTTAAGATGTTGGCATTGTGAGCCTCAGCATACTACCTGACAGCAGTATTTACCCATGTGGTTTACCATAGTGGTCTAGCGGGGCCTCACCCACTTCTCATTCAAATAAATCCAATAAGTAGTTCAGGATGGCACAATCACTAGTGCTATGAAGGGCCCTGCGTAACTCTGCTCTGGAAGGTCTCTGTCCAGTGCAGACTGCGGGGAGACCACTCGGACCCCGTGTGCACTGGGTGCGAGCATTCCTTCAGAGGCAGCTAAGAGCAAGATACTCGTCTGTCCCAACCACAGTAGTTTCTCCTGTTGTCTAATGAAAAGGCAGTATGCTCTCTCCTGTAACTATTGAAATAATTGGGGAGGGGTTTATTTGAAGGCTGTTTACTTTTGTGTCCATATTTTTTTTTCATACTCTAAATTAGATTATTGAAACTGACCTTGAAATTAAATTAAGTTTAGGGTGTAAGGAGGACAGAATGGGCAGGAACAGCAGGACCAAGTCCAGGGTGTTATGAAGGTAAGTAGCATGTCTCATCCTGGGAGAGGAGCTGCAGGCTTCCCAGAGCCAACGACAAGCCCAGCAGGCCAAGAGCTGGGGGTCCAGTGGACAGCACACAGACCAAGGTCAGCAGTGCCCCACCCACCCAACCTGGCCTCTGGCCTCCAAGGAGAAAGAGGCAGGGAGGGTCAAAGTTGAGAGGATTACAGTGAGCAGCCCTTTCCCTGTAGGATCCCAGTGCTTTAACCTGGTCTCATGATTCTTCTGAACAGAATCTGCCTAAGGCCTTGTATTTTTTCTGACAAGCAGGAGGGTGGGGTAGGGGATCCCCACAGCAGGGAGCAACAGGCAGGTCCACGTAAGCATGGGGCTGATTCCCACAAAGCTCTCCTGATGCTCATCTAACCTCAGGACAGACTGAGGAGCTCTGGGGGAGCTGGCTGGGGACTCCTTAGTGGTCCTCGTTGTCTTCACTCTGCTAGGCAAGTAAACGAGAAATCAGAGGCTCACTCCAGCTTCTGGAGCTATTTGTTTTTTATTTTGTCCAATTACAGTTGACACTCAGTATTCTTTTGTATCTGTATCACGTGTGCCACATAGCGGTTAGATAATTGTATACTGTACAGTGTTTCCCCTGATATTTCTACAATAGTTCCTACCTGCCACCATACATAGATATTACAATATTACTGATTGTATTTCCTATGCTGTATTTCAGCTACCAATCTGTACCTCTCAATCCATCACCTTTTTCACCCAGTCTCCCACCCCACCACCACCTTCTGGCAGTCACCATTCCAATCTTATGTCTATGAGTCTGCTTTTGTTTTGTGTATTTTGCTCTTTATATTGAATATATGAGTGAAACCATAAGGTACTTGTCTTTCTCTGACTGACTTATTTCACTTAGCATAATACTCTCCACAGTCATCCCTGGTTTTGTTCTTTTATTAATGGCCAGATAGTATTCCTTGTGTAAATGTACCACAGCTTTTTTTATCCTCTCGTCTACTGATGGGTACTTGGGCTGTTTCCAGATCTTGACTATTGTAAATAATGCTGCAATGAACAGGAGTGTATATATTCTTTCAAATTGGTGTTTCCAGTTTCTTCAGATATAGTCCCAGAAGTGGAATTGCTGGCCTGCAGCTCCATTTTTAATTTTTTTAGGAAGCTCCTTACTGTTTTCCACGGTGGCTGCATTCCCAGCAGCAGTGCATGAAAGTTTCTAGGTAGCCATTTTGCTAAACTCATGGACATTTTGTCACCTCGGTTGAGAATTTGACCCCAGATCCAGCTGGGGAGCATGGGGGAACAACAAGTCGAGGGAGCAACCAGTCAATGTTTCTCTCCTACATAGATGTCTCTCTCTCTCTCCTCGCCCCCCTTCCACACTCCCTCTAAAGATCAGTGGAGGTGGAGATGACCTGGGGTGAGGATTTTAAAAAAACACTTTAAAAGGAGTAAAGTGGAATATTTCTACAACGTAGTTGCTACTGAAATATGGAAATAATGAGGATCACTTATAGATCATTCTTATGTAGATAGGAAGGAAGGAAGGAGGTGATATTAAGGAAACCAATAGATATTTTGAGGTTTAAAGAAGAAAATAGGAACACTCTTTGAAGAGTCAGTCTCTTTTTTAATGAAAATAAAGATTATGATTTTCATTCATAGTTCCAGTTAGTAAACATCAGCCTGCATCGTGGGTGACACTGGGAAGGCAAGTGTGCGCTCACCTGGGCCTCTGCCTGAGGCCTGATATCCTGCCAAGCCTGGCGTTGGCCCTCTGTTCTCTGCCCATTGTCCCAGCTCTGCTTCTGGAGCTTTCTGTCCGATAGCAGAGGGCAGTCAGTCCACGGCTGCAGCCCCATCCTGCCGGGCCCCTGTGGCCGGACAAGCAAGGGGCTTTTCACTGAAGTTTGTGCCTGAAGCGTGGTGAATGCTCAGTAACACTTGCTGTGTTGTCCTCCCGGAGCTGTTTATTGATGGCATATTTTTAGAAGCTGATGCAGGGCTTTCATTCTTTTGGCTGAGTACACAAAGATATACCCTGTCTAATATTTGGACATTAAAGAAGGATTTCCTCTGTGTCCAAAGATACTGCTGCTGACTGTACTGATCTTCACTCTCCTCCAGTGGCTGACAGTCACCTTAGAAATGACTCCCTCCCAGGCACTGGGACGCAGACATGGGGCTGAGCGTTGTACAGGGCAGTCAGCAGGATGTGGAAAGGGGAGGCCTTCACCGCTGTATTCGCTCTTGAACCAGGAGTGCCTGCCAGGCCCCTAGGTGGCTGCCTCTGAGCTCGTGGCCCAGGGAGGACGCTGCTCCTGAGCAGGGTTCACAGTGATGTTTCTGTGGAGGTTCGAAAGCATCTGCGGGAGAATTGTCTTACCTTTAAGAATGAACTCATTCACCGCCTCTAACTGGTCCTGTCTCCCACAGGCATAGTTTCCAAGTCCTACGAATGCCGCTTGAAGGGCCAAGGCGCCACGTTCGTGGAGACGGACAGCCCCTTCACTGCGGCTGCGCTGGCGGAGGAGTCCCCGGTCAAAGACAGGCCCCTGCGCAGCAGCCGGCGGGCCGCGGCGGCGCCCGAGCAGGTGCAGCAGGTCATCATCATCCAGGGCTACGACGGGGAGTTCGCCCTGGATGCCTCTGTGGAGGAGACGGCCGCGGCCACGCTGCAGACGTTGGCCCTGGCCGGCCAGGTGGCCCGCGTGGTGCACATCACGGAAGACGGGCAGGTCATCGCCGCGAGCCCCGGCGGAGCGCACGTGGGCAGCGGGGCGCAGGGGCCAGCACTGCAGGAGCAGATGGCAGAGGAAGCCACCCAGGTGGTGGTGGTGGGGGCCTCCGTGGAAGGTCACGTGGCCGAGCCTCTCAGCCCGGGTGGCGCAGTGATACAGCAGGTGACCAAGCAGGAGATCCTAGACCTCAGCGAGGGCGCCATCCCCCAGCCTGACCCGGCCTCTGCCCTGGACGCCCTGCTGTGTGCGGTCAGTGAGCTGGGAGGGGCAGAAGGCAGGGCTGGGCCTGAGGACAAGGGCAGGGCCGGCCACAGAGATGTGCTGGTCCAGCTGCCCGGGCAGGAGGAGCCCCCCTCTGAGGCCACCGAGGTCCATGTGTTCCCGGACGTGGCGGGGAGTCCCGCCACCCTGGAGCCCATGGAGGTCCTGACCCAGGTGGTGCAGCCCTCTGCTGTGGTCGCCTCGCAGGAGCGCGCCCAGGTGACCTTCAAGAAGATGGTCCAGGGCGTCCTCCAGTTCGCCGTGTGTGACTCGGCCGCGGCCGGGCAGCTGCTGAAAGAGGGCGTCACCCAGGTCATCGTGAACGAGGAGGGTGCGGTCCACATGCTGGCGCGGGAGGGCTCGCAGATCGTCATGCAGGAGGCGGGGGCCCTGGGACAGCACGCGGAGCAGGACGGGGAGATCTCACAGATCATTGTCACCGAGGAGCTGGTCCAGGCCATGGTCCGCGAGTCCGGTGGCAACTTTCCTGAGGGCGCAACCCATTATATTGTGACCGAACTGCCCCCCGGGGTGCAGGATGAGACGGCCATGTACTCCCACACCGTGATAGAGACAGCCGACTCGCAGGAAATCCTGCAAGCAGGGGCCATGGTCCCCAGTGGGACGGAACAGTTGACCAGCATGGTCATTTACACCCAAGAGGGCTCCCCGGCAGCCACGGTCATTCAGAGCCAAAGAGAGAGTCACGAACTCCAAGAAGCCTGAGGCACAGGTCATGCGTGGAAAGAGCAGCACATGTGGACACAGTGGTCCCTGCTCAACAATGACAGTGTAGCTCAAAGGAGCACCGAACACACTCTGGTCCAGGGTTCACACTGCTGCTTAAAAGCACGCGGTCCCAGGAAGCCCCAGTGGAGGGATGAGAGCCTGCAGCCAGGGGCCAGCAGCAGAGCTGCAAATGGAGGCAGGGCCCTGCCCCCCAGATCTGCTCAGTTTGGTTCTGTTGATAAAGGTTTTCCCCTCTGTCCCTTCCATTGTACCGAGGAGAATCTGAGTTTTCTTTTCTGTATCACCACCCCACGCCCCCACACACGAATGTTTTCTCACTTCCGTTCTCAAAGGACGGTGCCCCACTGGTGGACATGTAAGCACAGTGTGTTTGTGGCTTGAGACCTGTCTGCTCAGCAACCCAGCATGTAGCCGCCTACACATTTTATTCTACATTCGGTTAAAACTGCAGCTGCAAGTATGACTGTATTGACGTAACCCACCCCTGTTCATTTTGTTGAAATGTGTCCCCAGACCAAAGGAAGCCTGTCATTCATCTCCCCCGTGAGTTTGCTCTCTTCAGACGTGGCAGGTGTATTCAGAGCTCTGGTTGTCCTCTGCTTAAAAGAACCTCCTAAAGCCTGCGGTTAAAAAGCCTTGGAGTTCATGTTTCATTAAAATGCACCCAGGTTAAGTCAACCCTTAAAAATAAGTGCTTCTTATTTTGACTTCATTTCATATAATAAAGTCTCTATATGAAACACACACTCTGGAAAATACTGTTCATACCAATGTATTGTTTTTCCTAACACGTTCATATCTGTGTCCCGGTTGCGGGATTTATGTGTAATTTATGTCAGTGAAAGACTGACGTTACACCAACAGGAAGCCCCCCTGCAGCCCGCCCTGACCACGCTGTCTGTGCAGCTCTGGTCCACTGCAGCTGTGGTCACTACTCCCAGTCGTTTGTTTCTGGATACAGTTGCTCTTCTCCCTTTTCCAAAATTGTAAAATAATTCCCTCCCCCCATGCACAGGTTGTTTTGTTCTGTTTCTTTTTTTTTCTTTGAAATAAAAGTATAGCATTAAAGAGAATGATGATGTTGTATCTCCAGCAGTCAACCAATGGCAAAAGTGAAAAGTAACCAGAACTCAACCTCTGTCTGACACGAGCTTCCCCCTTTCCCTTCTCCCGCCCCTCCCCCCCGCCCCGGTCTTCCCACTGGCAGGTGTACTTGCTCCTTACTGGCACCTCTGTGTGGCCTGGTGGGCATGGGACCACAGGCAGGTTCTGCTGACATTAATGTCTTCTCTCATAGCTAATATTGAAAAATTGTGAAGAACAGACATGGGAAAGGAAGAGAGGATGGTCCCTTTTTAGTTTAATTAGAAGTACCATTTAGAACACCTTTTTGAATGGATTTGGGCGGGGGCGGGGGGGGGGGGAGGGTATGAGCTTCCCAGAGAAGCGGAGCCCGCTGCCCCAGAGTCCAACCTTGTCTCCATGGCTTGGAGTCCTGTGGGTCCTAAAACCACCTCCCTTTACACAGCCACCCCTCCCCCAAAAAATAAACAAATGGTAAGATTTCAAGTTCAAATTGGGATTCATAATTAGCTGAGTATGACTTGCTGTGTTTCTTAAAAATGGCAGGGCGAGTCAGTTCTTAAACACTGTCTCCAGCAAACAGTGACAGGATCAACTCCATTTGTTATCAGGGTAAAGGTGACCTTTACAAACTGGTGCCCCTCTCCAGGCTTCTCATACATGTTAATAGAGAGAGGGAGAGGGAGAGACAGAGAAAAGAAAAGAGAAAGGAGGGGGCATGTTTTTTTCCACTGGAAATATTTCTTCGTGCTCATCCCTATTGGCGGTAGCTGTGGTCGGTGCGATGCTAATTCCTCCCTGTGCTCAGGCCTGTACTGCTAACCTTTCTGCCGCAGTCCAGGCTGTTGACACTGACACGCTGCAGTTTACTGTGTGTGATTTATTTAGGATAAATATGTCTCAGGTGGCATTTAATCCTTCATCAAACCAGTGTAGCCTGCAGTGTCAAACCAGCAATCACATTGTACACACAATGAAAAGAGCAGGCCTTTGCATAAAAATAAAACTCTGCAGAAGGTGTTTTGAGGCTCAGAAGGATTGTGACGGGATTCAGTGGGCATTGTTTCCTATAATCACCGCTGGAGCTGGGTTAACAGTACCTCTCTCCTCTCAACATGACCATAAGCACAAAAGGGACTCCAAGGAGCCTACACACAGCATGTGCCTCGGAATAATGAGGTGTGGCCTCTATGATCAGGGCACGGTCACCCAGCACGCTTTATTCACAAAGGAAACATGGCCAGCTTACTGCTTTTATTGAAGTTTTTGTAGGAGAATATAATAGTAGAACTTTAAAGAAGTAAAAAAAAAATTTAAAAAAAGCAAAATATTGCCTTGGAGTCTATAATCCAGACAGGCCACCTTGGTGTTAAGCTACACCCAATTAAGTGACTGTACCTCAGGGGCATTTGACTTGCAAGGAAGACCAACTGCCCTGCCCAAGTCAACAGAGGCATGGTTTGGATTTCAGCTCCTACGGTGGAAGTCGGCCACTGCTCCCTGTGTATGGTGCAGAGTTATGGAATGGCAGTTGCCATGAGAAGGAAGTTTTGGCCACATATGGTCATTTTAATAAGATACTGTGACTTGGGCATCCTGGTGGCTACAGGCCTCAGTTGGATCTGAGGGAGGAGATGCCAAAGATCTCCCACCATACCACAAGCACACAGGCAGACAGACCCAAATCACCTATAAGTGCAAAGAACATCCTTTATGTGGCTTGCTTTGCTTCAAAAACTATAAGTGTTAAGAATGTGTCAGTAGCACTGAAAGCTCCACTGTTGTGTATCAGCTCAGTCCTGAAATATGGATCCAGAGTCCGAGAAGACAGATGGCTAAGGATCCTTGGTGGATCCAGACTCAGTTACATCATAGATGTCAGTGGAGAGCCATCGTGGCCCAGGCCTGGCCTTACTCACCTGGTTAGTCACAGTAAAGTACCATCAAGGCCCAAGCCTGGCCAGGACCATGCCAAAATCCACAGCTCCAACCCACCACTCCCTCCAGAAGCAAGAGCCCCTCTGCCCAGTAGCACAGTGTCTAGGAAATTCTATGATTACTGGGAAACATTCACATTTTCCAAGTCTGGCAAACTTTGTTTTCCTGAACATAAAGATAAATTAATGGCAAAAGTGAAAAAAAAAATAAAATAAAATAAAAAATGGAAGAACCAGCTTAGAATCCTAACCCAGAACTGATTGTGGGAAGAGAATTAAGGAACAAGAAAGGCCATTTATTTAGTAAGCTAAGAAAAAAAGAACTAAGTTTTCACTTATTTTACTGTTTAATATTAGCCCATAATTTAAGAGAGCATGGGGCTCACTTAAGCAACCTCCTCCTGTTCCGTCTTGGTGAAGAATACAATTCATTTTGTTCTCCTCAAGGGTGATATCATTTTACATGAAGGAAAAAGTTAGCTCAGATGGCAGTTATAGGTTTCGGAAGCACCTTCTAATCAGGGATTGGTGATTCATTCTTAGCTTCAGCAGGCGATCCATCTGACATGTAAGAGGAAAAATTAGCAGCTGTCACTGCATGACGAGTTAATTTCCTGATAGGCCTGACACTGAAAAGCCATTTGGAGACGTGGCACCGGCTGATGAGAAAACCTGGCACTGCTTTATAATTGGAGATGAAGAAAGGGCAGAGAAGCAGTCTGGGGAGGGTCCACTGTCCACAAGTAGGTTGGAAGAGTGTGTTGATGGAACAGAAAGAGAAAACAGGCCGTCAGTGCCAGAGATTCCAATCAGCAAGGTGCCAACTTCCATTCCAAAGCCCTGAGAAACTCAGGCATTCATGCCACAGGTAGTGCAGAAGATGGCAGTGGGGTTGGGGCTGAAACAGGTCCCTCCCTCTACCTGACCTCTGCAGCCAGGCAGGTACCTATCCAAACTTCCTAATTCAAGAGATAACTAGAAGCTTTTTTTTCTGGAGGAATCTAACCAGAAAGGCTAAGGTTGTGGACACAGCAAAGAGTGGGGGGAGAGATAAGGGAATTATACCATGTATACAATGTTGTTGGAAGAAATTCTATGTACTGACTTCTGTAGTCCCTCCACAACTAGGCACCTGTGCAACAGAAACCAAATATGTGACCCCTAGAATACTGGAGGGGTCTTTTCTGGAGAGACTGAACCACCTAGAGAGATCTCCACAGATGCATATTTGAGGATTTGCCAGTGAAAAAGCCAGCTGCAGATCTGTCTGTACTATGGCTGACCACCAAGAAGCCCTACACAGAGCCTGCTACCAGCTTGGTGCCTTACTCAAAAATGGGCATAAGGCCCACACCAACATGAATAAAAAAGATTAAAAAATGAATGAGGGGGGAGAGATTCAGCAGAAACACATTTACAGAAAATTTCAAAAACTGCACTTAGATAATATATGCTTCCATGAAATAACAAATGTTTGTATTTTTAAAAAGGAACAGTAAGAGAACAAGAAAGAACTCCAGAAGATTAAAGTAGATCCTATTTTTTAAAATCTATAAAAAAAAATTTTGGAAGCTAAAGTCCAGAAAAGTCCTCATGAAGTAAGACCAATAGACAAAGAAATGGAATATAGGAGATTAAAAAAATAGTATCAAAGACCCACAACTGACTAAGAGAAGACTTAGGAAGAGAAAATGGGAAAAACAGAAATAAGGAAATTAACAAAGAATTAAGTCAAGAATATTTACCAGACTGAGGGATATGATTTTCCAGCTTGAAAAGACCCATTAAGTATCCAGCAAAATGAATGGGGAGGATCCATGGAATTCCAGAAACCCAGAATAGGCAGAGAAAAATAAAAGAGGTCACATGCAAAATCAAAATGGCATCACACTTCTAAAAAACATTCCTGGATAATAAAGAAAAGAAAGAATGAAAGAAAGAAAAGGAGTATCTTCAAACTCCTATGGGGACATTTTGTTATCAAAGAAGAATTCTATATCCAGCTAAACTGTCCATCAAGTATGATGGCAAAATAAAGACATTGTCAGATACCCAGTCTCTCCATAGATTTGCCTCTTACCATATCCTTCCAAGGGTTATGCTTATTGAAGAAGATAAAGGGAGGCTCTGTGAAAAAGAAAAGAGAACTGGTAGATGACTTAGTGATTCGTTTGTATGGAAAATACATCACGAAGATTTGAATAGTTTGGAAAAAATGAGTAAGCACTTTTTAAAAAAATGTAAGCCAATACAAACAGTGAGATAACAGTAATGCCAGAAAAAGTAAACAGGTACATAAGACAGAAGTCAAATCAGCTGTGAACAACATTTACAGGGTCATAATATGCACTCTGGAAATTAGTTGCACAATGACTATACTATAATTAAGCTGGGAGGATCAGGAAACGGGTGGCTAAGAGGAGAGGAAGTACTGCATCCTCGTGGGTCCCAATGGACATTAATAGACAATGTCTCAGGTTTGACACATCAGTCTGAGTGTCAGTAAATTACAAGAGCCATTTCCTGACTAGTTGGCAAACTAGCATGGGCTACCATCTCCCTCCCTTGAGAAATGACGGAGCGGGAGTGAGGAAGCCGTAGCACCCCGCTGTCATGGCTGTTTGGAGCTGGGTGTTTGGATGGAGAGAGGGCTGAGCCTACAGCGCAGGGCAGCCACAGCCATTGTGCGAGGAAAGCTTAGAGAAGAGCAAAGCTTCTGGCACTCTTTGCAGACTCCTGACGTGGGTGAAGAAGGGGACAGCCTTGGGGGAATTGGCAGCTTAAATCCAAGTTTTCCACCCAGGGTATTCCCCTTAGTATCTGAATAGCTATGGTCTGAACATTTTTAAAAGTAGTTAAATTTGGTTAATGATGATATAAGAAGTGAACAGTTCTGTGTTTACAAATAACTAAATAATAAGAACATTTCTCCTTCCAGGAAGCCAAGCACGTGAATGGATTCCCATTTGGCTTGCGTCCTGGGCTGGGAGTTGGCTCTTAGCCATGCCTGTCTGCCCCTCTGCCCGGAAGAATGAGCCCAGAGATGCCTGGCA